TTACATATACGATGTAACGATCGTCGACGCGATTACAACGACGATCCACGATGGTAGATAAGAGGCAGATTATTGCGAGTAAAATAAATGCATACAGGGATGATAAAGATATTACGTAAGGGATAAAAATCATTATTGCGTATAATCGATATTAAGCGATCAGATAGTTTATAACAGACCCGTAGAGACCAGTGATAGAGAAGTATATATAACATATTAACGAATATCGGACTACCACTGCGACGTAAACGAGTAAACGATGTACTTATTATATACATTAGTCAATGTTCAATGTTGAGATATTTATCTGAAATAAAATACATATACGTTGTTTACACCATATCGTCTATGTAAAAAATCATTTTTCCACTGTTCTAGATAAGAATATCCTTTATTTTCTACAAAATACACTTTAAATGCCCTGTGACTTTTATCAGATTTGACGATAAAATTATCTATTTATAATTTCATGTATTTTAATATATACTTTATATATAGATACAGTGAATTTCTGATTTTTTAAACTGTTTTTATACGGTAAAATAGTGGCCAGTCATGTCCTAATTTTCGATTATTTATGTATTGAGGAAACAGTTATTATTAAATATTTATAAATTTAAATTTTTAAAATTAAATAAAATTTATTATATTCAGCTGACATATATCATTTAGGATGATTAACTTAATTTTTAATTATTTTAAGTAATTTTTGTAGCGCTAAAAAAACTTTTCAATCACTTTTTGAAAGTATATCTTATTTTCTTATTAAAAAAATAATCTTTTGAGTATACATATATTCTACATTGAGTATACATATATTCTGGTTTTTTTATTTAAATCAATTTTATTTAAATCAATAATATAAATATTTTAATGTCCAGTTATTGTTACCTAAATTTAAGACTATTCTAATGTTCATCTACATATCTATGACTTCGAATTAATAGGTTCATAAAAATTAAATTATATTCAAAAAATGAACAACATGTTTATTATTATTTTTTATTAATCAAAAAACAATTAACACTAATGCAAGTCGACTAGATGTGCGTATAACAGGTTTATTTTATAATATAATAAACGTCTCGACTTACGTTTATGTATGTCATCAGTGCAAAAGTTCAATTTAAAAAAATTTAAGTATAAATTTAATATCACATAAATTTTATAAATGATTTGAAAGATCATATTTTTAATAAGGATTAATTCTTAAATATTTGGCTACTGGAATATTTACCTTATTATGATACACAAAATTAAATTTGAAATTCTGCATATTCTATATAAATTCTAAATAAAAAAACTTAAAAAAATCTATCCTAAATATTCTAACTCAGAATTTAAAATAAAATTCTATAATAATATCAGGTACCATATGATGCGAAAAACAGATTTGAAAAATCGGAATACATAACCACACAGCCGTATATAAAATATGTATATTTTAAAATGTATATATTAATATACACGTATGAAATTATAAGAATTCTATATATAGTGAATTCTAACGCGAATTATGGATTATTAAATTTAAAATTAAATCCTTATAATAACTTTTTTCTTTCCACTTAATTCATTTGTTTTAATTGTATTTAATGATTGGTTTAATAGAATACTAAATGTTATTATAATATCTAAATACATTTTTACGTTTTAACATAAACGTTTATCATTTTAATTAATTAAACATTTGTAAATTAAGCTTTTTTGGTAATCAGAAATAAAAATATTTTATTTTTATTATATTTCAATTATTATCTAGATTTTTTTCAGTGTATACAATTTATGAAAGATTTCAGTTTTAGAAATGTTTAGAAAAAAGCTAATTTTTTAAATTATATAAATAGTAAATTATAGTAAAAAAGTTTATTTTTTTTAATTATGGAAAAATATACTAGTAACTTAAAAAAGAAGCCAATAATGTGCACATTTATTAACAACGTATTTTCTAATGAACTACATGTATATCTACTTCTCATGGATCTCACGTTTACACGAGATTATAATTCATTGTGCCTGATTTTATTGCAATTCAGTATTAATATTTATCTTAAAGCATCTTAACATAACATGAGAGATCCATGCATATGGAAAGTTTAACCATTTGATAATCTATGGATTTATGAACAAAGCTTCTCAAGCTTTTCGCGAAAACTTGCTCCTTTATACTTCTAACTTATCCTACTCGACATGATTTATGAGCTTATACTGATGCCAGATCCGATTTATACATGTTTTCACATACATTCATGCTACTCGCGAGTTTACAAAGTAAAAAGATAAATAGAAACATATGTCGAAGCTTTTAGGAGTATTTATTTATCGAAAAGCGAGGTAGTTTTTCAATATTTGATAAAGGGTAAAGTTGATAAATGTTACCGAAATTTTAATCGATTAAATATTGCAAATATTTTTATTTCATATACAAGTTATTTCCAAAATAAATAGAAATTATGAGGTAAGTAATAAAATCTAATACTCAGTTTAAAATTTAAACTTATGTATTGTAATATATTTTATAAACACGAATGAACTGCGTGGTAAATTTTTATACATCACTGCTACTGTTGTTTTTTTTTTATTAACAAAAATATTGAAGTAAAAATATTATCAGTAATATATATATTATCAATAAAAAATGATTATATTACAATCCATAAAACAGTTGGGCATGCTTGCATTTTACAATATCGTTTATGAATACTAGTCGCGAATCAATACTTATACAAGTATTTGCAAGAAAAAAGTGAACGTAAGTCTGAAGTATTTCTATTAAATTCTAAATGGAGAATAAGATGTCAATCACTAAACATATTCGTATATATTGCAGTGTCATGCAATCTGTCGAAATGCCTGATCTTGCCAAGCTTTCTTGTGTTATCCAAATACGGGATTATTACATGTCGGCTCGATATTCATATGAAAATATGTGATATGAATTTAAGAAAGAGTTCGGAAATAACATGGAGTGGCTCTAAGTTTCGAAGAAAAGTAAGTGATACAAAACTTTCGGTAGCTTGAAAACTTTTCTAAATCGCAAGGGACTTTCAAAGATCCTCAAAGTCCGAGAACCGTTGATTCTCAGGGATTTGATCTATCCTGAAAGCCGCTGCGCGCCTGGAACGTTTCTTAAATCACAAGCTAAATCTTACATCGCGCGAAATCTCTTAGAATTTATATGGCCTCCGACAATGAAATATATTGCTGAACGAAGGTAGGAAAGTTTTGGAAAGTTTTACCGACTTTTTGTCGACACGTCGACGGGGGTTTGCCGGCCAAACGATTACTATAAGAACGAAAAATACTCGTAAGAACGAAGGTGGTTTTGGAGCCAATGAAACTGTGAGAGAAAAGTGTTTAGAGCTATCCGCAGTTTAGAATCGGGAGTGAAATCATTCTTTATTTTTCTCTCTTGGCTCTTCAGATAGCTTTTGACAAAATTGTTCAATATGTTCTGTGAAGAATCTAGTCTTATGTTTTAATATATCTAGTGCCATTTCTACACGGAGAGAATTTTTTCTTAGAGTTTACTCTGAAAATATGATAATCGTGGAACAACATTGTGGAACAACATTTCGAAGAATTTTAATGTAAATCTCTTTTTCATTTATTAATAAAACTACAATAAAGTATAAAATAAGTTTGATTAATTTTATTGAAGTGCATGATAAAAATCTTCAAAATATTGTATTGTACCACAACTATCATATTTACAGGGTAAATTTTAAAAGAAAATTCTCTCCGTGAAATTGATTCTCTCATTATTGAAAATATTAATATCAAGGATTTAAATAACTTATTCAGTCGCATTTATAATTTTTTATATTTTTAAAGAATTTTTTGGTTCACGATTTTTCATTTAAAGTATCTTTCAAGTATCTGTCAAGATTAGATATAAGCTTTAGTATTAATTTTAGATCAAGACTAAAGATAATTTGTAATATATAATATTAATCGTAGCTAAATTAATTTCTTTTATTTGTAACAAACGCTAGAACAATTATTTGAACAATTGATTGATGCTGAAAAATACAATTCTTTTTTTCTTTTATAGATACAAAATTATACAAAAAAATTTACGCTGTACGCACGTATGTGCATATTACAGATTTCCCATAGAAAAATGCTGAATCACGCACAGAGAGTAGGAAAAATACAATATTTTGCAATGAAAGATATTTGAGAGTTTTGTTTATATAAAGACAATCGAAAATATTTGTATTATTTAATAAATGTTCACAAAAATACCAAATATCGCTAATCTTAATAATATGTCTTTTTTTATTTTCTAAGTGTTAAATTTTTAAAGCTATATTTTCGAAAATTTAAAAAACTCTACTCAACATTTCTTTTGATAAAAGAGATAGTAAGTAATTTAATATATTTCTAATTAAATAATTACATATTCATTTCAATTTTAATGGCTTGTAATATTTATTGGAAGAGTCCCTACTCTTAATTTTTACAACAATTACAGTTTCGACATTGAAAGTATACAGTTTATTAATTTCCCATGGTTTCTCTTGTTTCAGTGTCACAATTATTCCGATTGACTTCACGAGCTTCTTCGCGTAAATGTATAACGTTTGTATGTAAGTATGCTGAGAGGAAAAGAAATAAAGGGACAAAGTTCAGTTTCGATAGTCTCCGAGTTAACGATATGAGACATGCTAAGTATATCCTATCTTCGCACGTCCTCCTCCGCGCGTCCAGGCGGAGGGGTTGCGCGTGGGGTTGGTAGTGGTTCAGTATAGGGTGACGGTGACGGTTTCGAGTGACGGCCCGGAGGACGGAGGGTGCCGAACGGAGGAGGGTTAAAGGGTGTCCGCGTCGGTGGTAGGTGGCGAGTGGGGTGGTGGGGTCGAACGCCGGTGTGCGGCGGAATACACTCTCTCTCTCTCTCCCTCCCTCCCTCTCTCTCTCTCTCTCTCTCTTTCTCCCTCACCCCGATCGGGGATGCTGGATCCACCGTCGGTGGAAACTTCAGTACGCGACCAGCCACCGACGTGTGTTTACGGTCCGAGGCTCCGGCGGAAGCGGCGAGAGAGTTGTTTGCGCTTCGGGGGTGAGAATACCTTTGTAACTTCCGTTCTCCACGCCGCCGCCGCCGACACTATCCTCATCATCATCACCACTAGCTTTGAATAGAATCGATTAGTTTCGCGCGTTATCGCGTAAAAAATAGATTGGCAATTTTTAGGATCGTCGCTGGTTCGGATATGTCACGGATCGCTAGTTTTTATCCGGAACAACGAGTCGAGGATCGCTTTTGTCAACCATTCATCGCGAAGGTTGGCGTCGAATTGAATAGAATTTTAGTGTAGTTTATTCTAAAAATTGTAAATGTAATAATGAATTACTTTAAAGGATGTTTAAACTAATGAATACTGATTTAAAGTAACGAGTGATGATTTTGATATCGTTATGAGAGTCGTTCTTTTTAAAATTGATAACAAGAGAAAATTCTTAAAGTAATATGATTATCAGTAAATAATGCTGACTTTTAATATTCAAGTAATTGTTCTAATTGTAATTTTTTATATCTCAATTAAATTCTGACGGTACTTTATATCTCTAAAGAAAGATATAAATACATTGTACAGAAATAAACGTCGGTTTCTCTCATCAACACCTGATAGTTTCTGTAAATGTTCAAAGTTTCCGCCATTTGGCTATAATTCTAACGTTTAACGAAGGAAATGCGAACCAAAACTGTTTGCAAGCAAACAGTCAAAGTTTTGTTCGTTGCTTTAATTGGATACATTCCCCTCGTTTCAGAATAACGTATGGAAATCTCGCGAACTTGCCCACAAGTTGCCGAAGTTTCGTGTTGTTTCAGTGTCAAGGATCATAGTATGCGCATTGACCTTAAAGCCGTCGGGATAACCAGGAGAGACGTTGAGAGACGGTAATGTTTTTGATATATTTTCATAAAAGCCAAGAAAGTTTAATTATACTTTCAGGGTGCCGACAAACTTGCAAAACGAATTATCGCTTTTGTCACGTGTATTAGTTAACAATCTATTGATGAAAAGTCACATTAAAAGAGATTTTTATGAAAGTTTCATCAAAAAGTAATTTTCTTATATCATGTATTAAAACTTGTACAGCAAATTGCAAATCATGGTTATTCAATTAAAAGATTGAACGCAAATTGAAAATGATTGCCGATATTACGTTTTCGTTATGATTAAATATCCTTAATTATATTTTTCAAAGAAATAAGAGTTATTACATTTATGTTTTATTTTAAACATTTATGCTTGAATGTGAGTGCATATTTATGAAATTAAAGTAATTGCCAGTACCGTGTTATCGCTTCTGGAAATTTCAAATCCATTATCAAAATTGAGAGCTGATTTCCTGCCCTTCCCTAGAAGAGGGAAACTCCTAATTAGCGTGAATTTTGGCTGAACATGGGAAATAACCCCAAGCTATTAACGTGCTTGTCGTGATTGCGATAATTGATATAAATGATTTTCATGATTTATCTATCCATTGCGCTTGATCTGACGAAGATAATTATTAATTCCGCGCAAAATTATTTGGAATGTATTATATAGAACGGTATGGATTATTTTTGCAACAATAAGAGAAAACGAGATAACCGTTTTATTATTGGAAAATTCAATTGGTAACTGTCATTGGAGATAGATTTTCGAAGAGGTCACCCAGTCCGAGAAATAATATAATATTTAAAATGGAAATTTTCAAATTTTGTTCAAAACTATTATAACTATATTTTGAATTTATTCTTTTATTCATACTAATTATATTTTAAAATGATTAGAATATATATCTCTCGAATTATAAAAAGAGGGATGTTCAAAGTAAGCATTTGTTCGTAATAATACTTTACTTACAAAAGTCATATAACATTTGAATAACATTTTAATATGAAATTGGAAAATATATGCGGAAAAAGAAGAGAGAGAAAATAGAAACTCTTTCATTAACTTTTTATTCTGAAGATCAACTCTATCTCAATTCGAAACGCGTCATCTAGTTTGAATGTTCTTGGAGCATGCTGGGATATTAAGCATTCGGCAATCCGTTCGACGACGATTCGCTCAACATTTCTGACATACAGCTCCAGTCAGGAACGAACGGCGGAATAATCGCGATACACAGCATTCGCGTCGGTGCTCTCAATGTCAAGGCGTACGGTAATAGAAGTGCATTGGTTAAAAGGGTGGTCGTCGCATCAGGAGCATCTGAAGCTCCTCACGTAAGAACGCCAGGAACGCGACGCTCGGCACGCCGCGGCGGTGGCGATGCCGGTGCCGGTACCTGGTTTGTGGTAGAACACGTAACCGACGTTGGTGTACCGAAGCCGGCAGTGGTGGTGGTGATGGTGGTGGTGGTGATGGCGGTGGCATAGGCGATGTGTAAAAGTGGTAGTGGCGTAGTAGAACGAGGGTAGTAGCGAGCATGATGGTGGTGGTGGTGGTGGTGGTGGTGGTAGTGGTGGTGCTGGTGGTGGTAGTAGCGATAATACATACAACGGAGAACGTAGTATGTAGCGTAGCGGCGGCTACGACGCCATGGCCGCCCCCGAGTTCATGAATGAACGACCACTTCGTTCTCGCACGAGCGCTAATGGGCTTCCTTTCTCGCGCGGCGAACCGTTTACGTATTTTTGTCGATGCGACGGACGTAACTCCCGCGGTTGAAGGCGCCGTCGATTATTGCGCCTAGGGTTAATTGCATCTTTCATCTGATTTACAATCTGAGAAACGGGACGCGTTTTCTACACGGGAAGATTTTTAACATTCCTCACGCGGCTGATACCGAATTGGACAAATTGCCGATTGAGGAGAAATTTTTTTTATTTCGGAAAAGACTTTCTGAAAAGTCTTTTTCAAAATGATAAAATAGAAGTAAAAATCATAACGTCTTACATATGCTACATTAATGCATTATTCTTTCAAGAATTTGATGTATTAAAAAATAAAAGTTCTAATATATAAAACGAAATTTCACATAAAAAATATATTATGGTTGTTACAATCAAAAATAATGATATTTTTCGCCCATTAGTACAATTTGATTATAAGAACTGTAATAACGCAATCATACAAATGCTTCTTATAACCAAATTGTATTAATGAGCAAAAAATTTCATTATTTTCGATTGTGGCAATCATAACATTTTTTTGTGCATTATCCTTTAATGGAATTTTTTTTGTGAAAAAAGGGAAAATTTTAGCATTACTCACGCGCTCGAATTGAACAAATTGGCAATCGCCGAGGAGGGAAGAAATTTTTTTTCATTTTGGAAAAGAATTCTCGAGAAGTCTTTTTCGAAATGATACAATAGAAGTAAAACTCGTATTATCTTATGCATTCTATATTAATTTATCATTTTCTCAAAAATTTGAGGTATTAAAAAATAAGTAAAAGTTCACTAATATATAAAAAAAATTTCATTTAATGATAAAGATTTTTGTAAAAAAAAAGTTACTCGTCGATTAAGTGTACGATATTGGTAGCGTCTCTATAAAAGTTGCGTTACACCAATTTTAGTTTTCTGGTTCTGACGGCAATATGGTAGCAAATGCGCGCTTTCTATAAGGATTAAACTGCGAGCACAATCATATATACGTTATTTCTTTCCGGAACTTCCCACCGGCGGAACTTTCATCATGATCAAGGGTGTTGACCTTTTTCTGAAGTCTGGTTAGAGAAAGACGACTTCTTGCAGTATACCCGCGAAGCCACGGCGTAACCAACTTCGCCATTATTATCCGTTGTTGTCTACACTTCCGCCTACTATATCTACTTCCAAGTGTTTCCGGGCCGTTACTAATTTCTAAAAACTGGAACATCGCCAGCATCGGAATCTTCTACACTTTTAAGGAGAATTTACTTTCTTTGTTCGTACGGTATATTTCTTAATTGCGGTCGCATCTTTGTCAGAGAATACCAGATAGCCAAACAATATTCTTTTGTGTACAATATGTTTTATAAGTGGAATATTAAATTATTTTCGTCATATTTGGAACAATATGTCAATATGCAATATGATTATTTAATGAATTAAATAGTAAATTATGTGGTAAAATGTGTTTTATACATGTTCCATACTTTATTCACCGCATATGTTATTCATGTTGCGTAATTGTTTCTCCGATTTGTAAATATATTAAAATTTATAATATTTTACATTGCATGAAAGATTGAAAAGAACGGAGAATTTTTTAAAATTGTTATAAATTATCAAATATTTTAGTTATAACAAAATAATATGAACAAAATAATCAAGCTGCATATAATTCATTAAAAAAAATTAATTAAATAATTTTAAAAAGTACATTTATTTACGTTTACTGATGAAATAATAAATTGTAGAAAAAGAAGAAACTCGTTGTGTGTTCTTTAGCAGAGTCCGACTAGCATATGAAAAAACCTTTTCTTCATAATACTATCGGATTTATTTTATTATTATGAAATAGGCAATTCGTTTATAGTTCCATTCGTTTATAGTTTCCAAAAAGATCCTGTAAAAAGAGAATCTTTTAAATACTTTATAAAGAAAATAAACACTTTATAAGTATAGAGTATTATTTGGTTTTTAGAAGTTTAATTGTATTTATAGCAAGAAAATGATTTATTATAAATATCTTTTTAATATAATTTTTCTTATATACAGAAATTTAAATTAATTTAATATTGGAACATAATTATTAATTACTTATTTTGAGTTTTAAACACATAAACAGACATTATAAATATTTGAAATTGGTTCAAATTTCTGTAAAGGTCGTAAAACACTATTTTTTATAATATTCAAATAATATAAAATAGTTATTATTGGAAAAAAAGTATAAAAACGTTTATTCTATAATAATTTATCTCTAATTTAGTTTTTCTTTTCACTGATTAAGTAATAAATTCAAAATTTTGCGGTTGGTAACATTTCCAAATATTTTTAAAGATTACCGTAGATTTTTTCTGCAATTTGTCCTTTTTATACGAAATTTGGAAACAAAATACATTGATTCTGATTCACAAATATAAAATATACAAAAGTAATAAACATGATCTCTCTTTCTCTCTTTTTTC